ACCCAGGCAATGAAATGCAGAAATGGATCTCGAAGACCAAACAGTCCAGTGCTACTAGCATAAAAATACGGCTTGAAAAACAAGTTTATTACTTTTTAAGGTGTACTTTGTCGAAATAAAAAATAAATTATTTAGAGCTATCATTGTAAAACAGTTCCGTGTAGTAACACTCTTATTAAGGCCCTTGAGACAGAAAATCTATTTTTACAGGTAGGATTCCTGGCAGGCATGATCTGTAATGACATGCTTGCTCTCATTGGAGTTAACTTACTGTGGAGAAGGACATACCTAAAGGCATCAGCCTAAATTTAACCCTTTTTACTCTGTCACACTCAGCTGGATACCTGTGGCTGACGAGCTAATTACTGATGTAAATACATTTAATGGTGCAACTCAGACAGGAATTGTTCTCCAGGAATGACACAGATATTTTTGCAGAACACAAACAGAATTCATACATACAGGGTGACCTTAGCAGATAAATATTGCTGACACATTCCATGGGCACAGCTGTAAAATTGACAGACTTCAATCACTGAGTTTACAGATGAAATTAAAAGCTGGTGGGTTTAAGCAAGCATTAAAACATGAAATTAATATATCATGTTAAAAAAAAAAAAAAAAGCCTAAGCCAACCCAAAGCAATTGCAAGAACATAAAATAAAACCCATTTCTTGGACGACTTATTAGATGGGTACAGAATTTATTACTGGATACACCTCATATTCTCTAACTAGAAAATATAGACATCCCTTTCCACGCTCCTCTGGGCCCCCTGCTTACAGTTATCCCACTGGAGAGGAATGTTGTAAAATGTGTAGCTGTATGAACCTGTGCTTTTACGCATAGCTGCCCACTTCTAATACAACAGGGAAATAACAGTTGGTAATTCCTGGATGTGAAATCTGCCTATTTCCCTTAGAAAAAAGGTCTGAATCCTAGAGTTGCAAAGAATGGGCATTTACAGGATGCCACTCCTAGGCTGCGCTCCCTCTCTTCTCCGTTAGTGCCTACCCCATGTCATTTGGTCAGCTCTGTCCTTCACACACTCTGCAGACAGCACACACAACGTGGCACAAGGCCACAGCGCTACACAACGCTGCTCCATTTCCCTGCCCCGCCATGCTGGCCGTGAGCTTCTACTGAGAACTCGGAAGCCCTGGTGGCTTTGTGGTTTGGGAAGAACCATCCTAAAACAGTATTGAGGAACGTGGCCAGTAAGGACTGAGATGCCAGGATGGGGCAACTTTTCTGTTTCAGTCTTAGGAACACGAGTACTACTCCTACAGCCTATTAAATTTTTCCTGTACTACTTCAGCTGTTTCCAAATGAGAACAGCAGTTGCTTGCAACAGCATTAGACACAGCCTGATGCATTTGCCGAAACAAAACCTATTGTCTATAATGCTGATTGTCAGACTTCGCGCTATTTACTACTTCTCTCATTGCTGCAGAAACCCGCTGGCTACTAGTCTTAAACCAAATGTGATCTGGCCCAGTTAGGGCTCTTGCTCCAAAATAGACAGACCTTTTGGCTGCCACGTGGTTTAGTGCCACTTGAATTTTATCAGACTGGACAAAATAGAAGCTGGCATTTTCACGTATTGTCGGCTTGAAGCAGCTTAAAATTTCTCTCGAAAGCTGCTTGGTAACAAACTAGGAGAGACAGCTGCCTGTAGAACTCGGGAGCATAACGTTTTGTTCTGCAGCTAATCAATTTTAGTCTTGCAGCACTGTGAGTCTGCAACCTTCACCCCTTTTTGGGTCAACAGGCAGCTTCTCTATAGCAGGAGTTGGAGGAGTACACTTTGCACTTTAGGGTAGAAATTGAAATAGAAGAGCAACAACCAGCCTAGCAACAACCTGTGAGGATGATACTGATGGGTCAGACACTTTCAGAATAGCAACTTTTCCTAGTCTGCAAGCTTAAGAAATACATAGGAGAAGGTACATTATCAGGATGATACATCACTAAAGACCTCACCAAAATGTATCAATCTTGGGGCAGGTATTACTTCCCCTCTCGAAATGCAGGCTGAAATGTTGCTCCTACTGCATTTCTTTGCTGAAACCAAAGGGGATGCCTTGGAGTCTTCAGCATTAGACCATACAGCTCAGCCAGTGATGTTTGATAGATTACCAGAAAGCTGGGGAGCTCTGGTGAGATGCATTTCCACATTAATGCTAGACTAAATGCTACCAGGATGACGTATCTGCTTCTGCCTTGTTCTAGTCAGTGTAGTCCTACGACCACTTGCTCTCCCATCTCAGTCACAGAACAGCCAGACTATTTGCACTCTGTAATAAGTGAGCAATGCACACGCCCATCTGAAAAGACTACTTTTGGGAACAAATCTCCCACGATGCAGCTGTGTAATTATAGTACATAGCAAAGGGGAGATGCAAATCACACAAAAATACTCAACAAAAAGGGGTTTGCAAAGGTTTCTTGTAAGAGAGAGCTACTCACAAGACAGATTAATACAAACTCGATAGACTGCCTACGGCTGTGATGCATGAAGGAGGAAGGAAAGAAGGAACTTAAAGGCACAGTTTGAGGAAGAAAGTATCAGAGGTCAGCAGTGACCCAGAGCTGGAAGACGGTTTGGAAAGTATCGAAAAGAAATCATTACTGAGTAAATGCAGAGCACAACCCCAGGTCTGTCAGACAGTCCTGACTTGGCTATGATACACCAAGAACAAGACAGGATGCTCCTCGGCCTGTAGTACACCAAGTCACATTTGAGCAGCCAGAGCAGCTTTGATTGAAAGAACTAAGCATTAAATATAAATCCCAACTTGCTGCAGACAAATCTCCTCTAGATGTAAATGAATGGCCAAGGCCTTGCTAAGAGATTCATACACATTTTTGCTATACGTCCTACAATGCAGGAGATGTGGTCTCTGTATTTATGCACAGTTAGTAATGTAACATACTTGTGTGATGGCGCTTAACTGAAGTATCATAATACAATAATCAAGCAGAACAGTCAACACACTGTGCTGCATTTGCCCATAGAGGTGGGAGCAATTAATTTCCAAAGAACAAACTTGACAACAGACACTGAATTTGGGTCCTCAGTATTGCCAATCCTTCATGTTCAAGGCAACATGGATCACTTTCAGCCAGTCAAGAAGTTGGCTTAGAAATGCCTGAAGTTTTAATGTAGTACAACTTTAGAGATTTAGAAACTAAGGCCAGAAAGGATAATCAGATCATCAGCTCTGACCTTCTCCATACCACGGGCTATACAATCTCAGCCAGGTACCCCCACAGCCACATCATTAACTTGTTCCTAGTTGCAGCCTGACCTGCTTGCTAAACACATCCCACACCGAGGCACCCTCTCAAGGCTGTCTTGTTTTGAATCAACTTTTCCAATTTCTAATTTCCGTAACTAGTTTGAATGGTTGATTGCACTCACTTGTATTAGTACACTTCTGTAATTCAAGATTTCAATTGCTGTTGCAATAGTTTTATTTACTTTGAGAGTTTGGGGGCTAGAAATGTATACCGAAAAGTGAGAGTGAAGCTTCCACACTATTACTTGACTCTAGAATCTGGGGCTTAAAAAAACCCCTCTCAGACTAAATATTGTGGCATTTGACGAAATGCGAATGGATAATACTGTGTCATTTACTGTTAATCTTTTACAGTTTGTGAATGTCATTATCTTCTACAAGAAGGTCACTTTGTAATTATATATGCATTCACATAGAGCCTGTAAGTATGCTTCTATGAAATGCAGCTGAAAGTAACTGGAGATGAAAGCTTAGCCAAAACTCCTTAAGAAAAAACTGGTGTGTACAGAACTTAAAAGAAAAAAAAACCCCAAAACCGTTAAGTATCCAGAGAAAAGCAAATTGCAGTGGAAATGGAAGATGTTTTAACACAAACATGCAGAAAGCATCTTTCATTGGAACTAGACTGGCTAAGCCAGTGGCTGAAATAGTGAAATTTAACAAGAGTTAAAACATAGAAATCCTCTAGGAAAAGGAAATTTTGCATACTGAAGTCTGCTTTGCTGGGCATGGGCACCCTTCAGTTAGCCCTTTCCTCAGAGCATTAACCTGACTGTTCCTGATAGAGTGCAGGAAATGAATTCAGGGTGCCACTGCATGGTGCGTAAAGTGGGGATAGAAATTAAAAAAAAAAAAGTATTTACAGGTCTTTAAATTCTCAAAACAGAAAATATAAAAAACAGCATCAGAACTGGGGTAAAGAAGAAAGAATCCTACCTTGAAAAACTGCAGATTCCCTCTGTCTGTTTGATGGGAAGCCTGACTGTGCGCAAATGCAAGGAAACAAGCCTGCTGCTCCAAGTTTTTACCTTGTTCAAAGAGACTGAAAATTTTTTGCCAGAGTCCTACCGAAAGTAGGTACAGGATCCAGCAAGAGCCAATTTTCCTGCTAAAATGTTTGCTATCGAGCTTGCATTCAGTTAAAGAACAGCTAGAGAAGAGGGGAATAAAACCAGCAGATGAGTTTTCTTACAGAATTAATTTCACTACTATTTCACTCCACTCATGTACTTGTATCAGTCAGCCTGATATATACAGCTGCTGTCTAATGCAACCCACTGCTCATCTCTCTCTCTCTCTCTCACCCACAACACACATGCACTCACTCTCCCCTCTTCCTCCTCCAAGGACTGCAGTGCTTTCAACAAGAGAAAAAAAATAATAATAAAAATAGCAATAATTAAAAAAAATCTACAGTATTCACTTCCTTTTGGTATATTACATCGGCATTTTCTGTACATGACCCAAGAGGTCCCTCTATTTACACAGTGATATGGAAGGACTTGTTCTTGGGAGCCGGGTTCTCCTGGCCTTGAGTGGGGAATTAAAGCCCACTTTTCAGAGTTCTTCTTTCTCTTTTCCACTTTATTAGCAGCATTATGTAAACCTGTAAGGGGAAGGGGGGGCTATTTTGAAGGTTTCATGAGTCTGCTCCCTCTCGCCCTTCTCCTGGGGAGATGGCCGGCAGCACCTGCCCCGTTAGCAGCTGCTGTTTTTGAATTCACCATTCTCCGTGATGGAAAGCTTGGTGGGATTGGTGGGGGAGATGCCATTGCGGACTTGCATGCTGTAGCGCTCCTTCACCTGCGTCAGGGCACTCATCAGCCGCGTGTTGGCAGAGTCCAGGGACACGATCCGCTTCTCCTGCAACAAACACCCCACAAAGTCAGAGCTCCTTCACAAATGAAAAGCCTTTGCCCCACAAGCCTGCTTTATGGGGAACTTCCAGGACCCGGGGCTGTGGCAGTGTCTTCAGATGATTTCTAGGCAGAGGCAGCTTGGCTAACATTCTCCGGTAAGATGGGATGTCTGCCTCTTTCTGTTTTCTTGGGGTAACATGGCCCCTGCGTGCCACGGGCTTTTCACAGACCGGTCTGGCCCTCCTGGCCTTTTTGCGTGATGGAAGGTGACAGTGAGTCAACGTTACATTGGTGCATCGATCCAGTCACAGTGGCTTTATCCAGACAGCCTCCAACTGAGGCAGATGGAAATGCAGTATTTTGCCATGGCGGGGGGGAGGAGGGGAAGGGTGTTGATGTTAGTAACAACAATAGCCAATTTAATTTTTTTTTTTTAAATATGTTAGAAAAACAGAAACAGGCAGCAGAAAACAAAAGTGGTGGAGGTTTCATCTGGCAGAGAAAAGTGCAAGTGGTACCTAACAGCCATTGTCTCTGTATCTTGGATGGAGTGTGCTCAGAATAAACTCATGGTATGCTTGAAATAAATAAAAAAAAGCAGATAATGGCAGCCTGCAGTCACCAGCAGGAGTGAGGGTGCAATAGCAACATAGAGAAGCAGCCAGAAGCTAAAACTAAGGGGTTATTTGAGGTGAAGGGGAAGAGGGCAGTGTGGGTGGAGGGGGGGAGATGCCATCGACAGAACACAAAGAACAAACACTGAACACACTGCTCCTAGACCCATTCCAGCTCAGAGGGGCTCCCGGGCTCCACCGAATCCAGGGTTCCCACATCCCAGTTTTGATTCTTCTGGCACAGAAAGTGCTAGCCTCCACTTTTAGCAGAAAGCTAAAGGATGTGCACTAAATTTATAAAAAATAAAAAACCCATCAACAAAACCCAGCCTACTAACAGCTAGATTATCTGCAGTGGGATAAAGCACTGGAGGGTCAAGCCAAAGAGTTGGTGGCACAATTAGAAATTACAATTTTGATCTTCCCTCAAAAAAAATATAACAGTGCAGCCACACAAAGCAGCAACACAGATGGCAAAAGGTAAATATGCTCTCCACGCTACCAGCTGATTGGCTTTTTTTCTTTGAGAAGGAAAAATGCCTAATTTACTTGAATGAAAAAAGCTGCATGCAGGAACTCTTCCCAGTCCAGCCCATTGAGAAACAAAATGGAAGGAAAAATGATGCACAGAAGGCACAAACATTAAGGGATAGTTCAGACATACTACTCAGGAGACCTAAGTGCTACAATAGCCCCTTGAGATTTCGATCCCAGCACATCAGCTGTGTGGTACATCAGTAATCAAGTAATGTTTGCTTTTCTCAGTGGGCTTCCCCACAGGGGTAAGTGTTAGGGTGCAAAAACAAAGCAGAATTTAAGTACTGCTTGTATTACAGCCCTGAAGAGACTGAGCTCTGTATAGTAGAGCACATGGAGGAGGAGGCATGACAAATCAACAAACAGCAAGGCAGGCTATAGCCTGCCCTAGCACTTGCCCTGATCCAGTCAACCTAAGCAAGGAGAACAGACAACGGAGGCGTTAAAGGCCTTAGCCTTCCCTCCCATGCTGAAATAAATCCTGCAAAACACAACTGCCATAGCAGAAATGTGTTCTTCAGCAAGTTAAAGCTCCTCCTCCTCGGACTAAATTTCACCTGGAATATATAATTTAAAATTAAAATTTCTTTCCAAAGAAAATAGCTTTCCAAAGAGTTAAAAATGAAAGGCTGGTTGTTTTCTGGCACTGATGAGGGCTCACTATGCCAGTTTGCAAAACAGCTGGAAATCTACACTTGGACAATCAATCTTAAAAGCATGAGTTCGGTGAGTAGAGGCATCTTCTCACTCAAAGGAAAATTCAATGTAACAAACATGTCTCTAACACACATGAATTGGGCACAGGGAGCGGGAGGAGCTGGAATGGGTAGGAGGTCAGTGCACTGGGCCAGGACTGGGTACTGCTCAGCTAGAGAACTGATTGGGTTTACTTGCCTGTTTGAATTATCTCATCCCCATTTATGACCTGTAATTTAACACAGCGGAGAAGTCACTTGCAATAGCAACTGGGCTAGTACTCTTTGCAGCTCCACTGCTCCAAGGAGAGAGTTTAGCCAGACCTAGCCCCTGCTCGGTCAGGGAGGCCCAGAGACAGCCTCTGGAACTACAGCGCACACAAGGTGCTGCCCAGAGCCAGGGCGAACAGCACGTATACTGACAACAAGGCTGTCCCCGTGCGTTGCTGCGGTATCGGGCGCTGCACCTGACCACAAAGCAAAAGAGCAAATCCTGAAAAGCATCTTGTGGTGATGTAACTAAGCACAAGAAGCCCAGGTTACTGCTGTTTCCTAGCAGCGATTTAACTCCTCAAACAGGTGTGATAAGCCAGGTTCCAACTCCACTCCATAAGTCTCACATAAAAAGAGACGAGCTTTTCTTTTCTAGCCACTGCTATATCCCTTTGCCAAATGAATCACAGACTAAGAAAAATCTTCCAAGCGCAACTTAAAGGGATTGCTACAGAACCCAGCAAACACTTGGGCTCCTCTGGTGCGTCTGTTCTGAATCTTTCATGAGTTTCCTCTTCTGCTCAGGTACCCATGAAAGGGCAATGACAATTAAGCTTCCCCCATGAACTGACAGACACTGAAGCAGTTAAGGTTTGCTGATGACCTTTGCCTGCCCAAGTAGCTAACAGCACATCAGAAGAAAAAAGTGTCAGATTAAAAGCGGAATCATTAATGCTACTGTTTTTTCAACAATTTCCACTGCAGGTGATAAATGATGCATCATTTGATCAGGTGTGATCAAGGACCACACTGTTCCAGCCCTGAGGGTTTGAAGCTTTCGCAAATCAGCAGCAGTCCCCTCTGCCAGCTGGTGACACTGAGGGATCAGACTGGTCCACTCTCTGCCTTGCTGGTCCATAACCTCACACCGAGGCTGAGACAGGCAACAAAGGGAAGGGCAAGTTTCTTATTCAGTTCACAATCTCTCAAATCCTCCCCTTCAAAATCACTTTTTATGAGTTTGCTCAGTGCCCCTTTCACCTTCTTGAGGCAGATGAAAAAGGCATCACCTCCTTCAAAAACCAGGCTGCTGTTTGGATGCACTGCCATTCTGTCAGTGTGTAACAGCAAGATGCCCTGACTGTGCCTATCCCCAAAAAATGTCCCAGCACATTCAACTTCTATGCCAGCTTCCACTTGCCATACTCCTTGATTAGATTGGAGGCTGCTGTACTGTTCCTCCACCACCAAGAAAATAAAAAAATACAGTGACTGACTACATTCCTGTTCATTCTCCAGCACTGCACTCTCCCCCTTTGCATTTTGAGTGCAAGTCCTCACGGAAAGAATTCATCTTGAGCTCCATCTAGAAAGGGTGACTACTCTGGTGTCTCCATGTAGAGCATCTTGCACAGTAACTAGGAACTATATATGGTGTAGGAAATCCAGTAGGATTTTCTTTCTGTTCTGCAAGGCTAGGTAACGGAAGTGCCATGTTATTGTGCACAAGCGATTTATTCAGACTAGATGGCACAGATCCAAAAATCTAGCTTTCATGAACAGTCTTTCTAAAGAACTGTGGGGAAAAGGGCAGAGGCAGCAGGAAAAACAGAACTTTTCATATTATCAAAAAGAAAACTGCTATAAATATGCTCCTAGTGTTACCAGCCTTTTAACAATACAGCTTTTTTTCTACTTTATATTT